AAAGAAAAGAAAGAGAGAAAAGAAAGAAGAGAGGGATACTTCCCTAAAAGCATAGTACATCTATTTTCCTAGAAATTCTAGATAATTGCCTGTTTGAGACAATTTATGAATAGATAGCCAACAAAGAGATGGTTTTGCCGATATGCCATAGACATAGGAACCCAGGGCAAAAATACAGACTATTTCAAAACACAAAGAACATTTCCCCATAGCGTAAACTGAGACGGTTTTGACTGAGGTAAGGGGTTTTGAGGCATCAAATGGCTCTTCAGGGGTGGTGCTGAAAAGTTAGGATGTTAGTAAGTTAGGTAGTTTTATTGCTTATTGAATAACAGTGTCAGTTCTCTAACATTTGTAGTTCTCTAAACACTTGTTTCATTTTTTATGCAGTACATTTTTTTTGCGTATTTTGTTTTTAATTAATTTTCTTTCATTAATAATGTAATAAGTAATAATGTAATAAGTTGCACCATGTAAAAAAAGGGAGAGAAGAGGAGAGAGAAAAAGAGAGTAAGAGATATAGAAACAAATAATGGTTCTCAAAATAATGGACCCTGGCTTTCCAATTATTGAGGAGGTCCGGACCCCACGGACCCCCTTGGTTTCGACGCCAGTGGCCATAGGTAGAGAGTTCTGCTTTTCGTTACCTATAACTCATTTCGATCGCCAATAATCAAAAATAATATCTTTTTCCTTTCTCTAACCACTTTGATCAGCCTACGTAGGGACCAAGGGTGTCCTGTATCGGTCCTCATTAAAATGTTCTACCGTAAAGTACTCGACTTCGAGTGCAGGACGTCGGGCTACCAAAGCAGGGGAGCTATCCCTTCTGCAGAGGATCAAAATTGTGATGGCATATCTTGCTATGGTGGATCATCCTCAGGGATGTTTTCTAGACCGTCGCCAATAGTCCATTGTGCAGCTCTAGTGCGACGTAAATAAAGTTCCTACCTTCCACCTTCTTTTCTCTACCTAGAGCTATTCTCGTTGTACTGAACGAAACGAAAGAAATCACATATGCGAACATTTCGGAGATGAACGAGTCCTTTTCAAACATTTTTAAAAAATCTTTTTTTTTCCTCTTTATTACAATTAAATAATTTCTACAGAAATAATGGAAATATTAAATGCATTATGGATAATTAATTAGCTAAAACTTTAATTACAGATTTCAGAAATCGTAACTTTTTAAAAAAACGTCCTACGGAACCACTGCATTTCTTTAATGAAACCCTAGGGTAGGGTACCATGGGACAACATTTGAGAACCGCTGAATTTAAAGAGCAACCAAATTTATCCTATGATAAAGGAGCTTTACTTATTAATTTTTTTTTTGCAATCTGGGAAATATGGTCCCCATAGTGTGGTCAGGAGAAGGTCCAAAGTTTGGACCCCTTAATGTTAATCTTACTTTTTGCTTATTTCGCCATATCTCAAGAAATTTTTAAACGAATTGAAAATTTTTGCATGCACTTATAAAATGCGTTTATGCAAAGATAATTCTATGCAAAAACAAATTTTAGTACATATTTATTATTTTATTTAAATAATACTGGAAAATAATTTTGAATTGTAAGGTACACAATTTTTCACATAATTTCAAAGTATTTAATTTTACATGGCAAAATACGGAATTTTAGTCAAATCGGTTGAATAGCTCCTAAGAAATCGAATTTTAAATATACGACTTTTCTAAAAGTCGATTTTTCAGAAACTATTCAACCGATGAGTAAAAACGTAGAAATACGTTCTTAATTCGCAATCTTCGAATCGAAAGATAAGATAACGATTAACACTGATTTAAGTTTAGTTATCTAGGATTTGATTATACAATCAGTTACAGTTCGTAAAAATTTTGCGTTAAAATAAATAGTACTATGTTTGAAATCTTTAATCACTCTGAATTGTGAAATACCTAAAACAATTTTGATGTATAAAATGTTTTTTATTAAATTTTTGAGAGTTTTCGTAAGAAAACTATACAGTTGCATACTAATTTTTGTGATTCACTGTGTGCTTAATTGGTTAAATCAATCTCGAACAAAAAAAGTTGTTAATATGATTTCAAATCAATCTTCTAACTCATATTTAATTGCGAATTTTTCCTCCTTATTGTGAAGCTCCAAAAACTTGTTAAAACATAAATTCAAAATTTAAAGTAATTTTCTTTTCCTTTCTAATAGCAGTAATAAAAAATCTATAATTTCCTTTCATAATAATAATAGTAAAACCTTTTATTTCCTTTTATGAATTACTGGGAAATTTTATCTCTAAGATATCGTTTTTCATTTTGCTAAAAATAGAAAAATATGACTTATATTGCTTTTGGGTAACGCATTGGATCTAGTATTTTCTACGAATTTTGATGTTATTTGTTACAAAATACAATATATTCCCTCGTTATTGTCTTTAATCGATTCACAGATAAAATTCCGAACTATATTTTATAAAGCTTAAACAGATATGTAACTGTTAAGTATTTTATTCTATTGCATTTAATTCCATTTAATTGAAATTCAGAATAGCAAACAGAAAAAAAAAGTGTTTTTTTTTTTAAATGAAATTTTAATGTTACGAAATTAAGTTATCAAGATATCGATTTTTTCTAGTTTCTTATTACTTACAAAATTGTAAAATAATAATAATAAACATTTATTTCATAAACTTTTATGCAATATTAAATACCATTCATATTAACTGTATCTTATGAAACGTCATCTTGAAAGTCTGAAATTCGATAAATGTCAACCTTGATTGTCAACATTCACATAGTCGCTTTCGAGAATGTCAGTCATCATTATCATTACTTCGCTCCTTCACTGGGAAATGCTGCGAATTTTGAATAAAAAATTATTGGTGTATACTATATATTCACCTGACATTTCTTCCATCAATGTAAACAGGCACATGGTGGTGTAAGTAGGAAATAATGATATTTATTAAAAATATTTTGTTTAACATTCACCATTTATGCTTGCTGATCGAAGGTCTAAACTTGTTGGGTGCTGGTATATGAGAGAAATAATGACATTTAATACTGTCGAATATTGGCATATGCGACAAGTCGACAAATTTAAGTGAGAAATAATGATATTTAACAGCAATATTTTACTCAGCATTCACCAGGATATGCTGACTTGAAGAGAGAAATAATGAAATTTAATAATGTCGAGTACTGGCATGTTGAGCATCGATATATGTCGGTGTAAGTGAGAAATAATAATATTAATCAAAAATATTTTATTCAGCAATCACCATTAATATAAGCTGAATGTCAACATTTGATTCAATAAGACATAAATATTGAAATTAAACAAATGTTCTTGAACATTCATTAAAGCAACTAAGTGAATTAGGGCGAACATCGAAAAACTTTTTATTTGACATTCAAAATTTGAGTCGAGGTAATGTAGTCAATGTGGTCACATGTTTAACGAAATTCATTTTGGTCAATTTGAAAAACCCTTGAATTTAACGGAATGGGCCCCAAGTTTAATTCTTTTGGGTCAAAAATGATAATTTTTAAGACAACAAATTTTAATTGAGTTAAAAAATGTGAAATATTAATTTAGAAAGCAAAGTAACAATAAAAGAATTATAATTAAATGCAACATTTAAGTCTCCTGGAAACTACAGGAAAAGCTTAGTTTTTCTTCATAAATACTTATATTTTCAATTTTCAACTCAATTTTTCGGTTAGTTCGATTTTCCTCTAATTGTTTGAATCTATAACTTTCATGCTATTAATTTACATTTCAAATTTTACGTTTTGATACTAAAATGTGTTTTGTACTTATGCTTTTATAAAATTTTTGAAATTTACGATATTTAACAAAACGTAGGAAAAAAAGTAATTTTGCATCCATTTTTTTGAGACAAATAATTTTCGATTTGATGACAAAATTTTTTGGTAAATGAGGTCACACTATTTTTTATTCATTCTCTCTAGACGTTTTATCGATTTTATCGGCTTTTCATCGACTATGGAAAAATCATTGGATGTTCCGAATGAGAAAAATCTTTAAAAAATTCATATTTTATTTTTAACATGTTAAAAAGAAATCAGAATTTAATAACTAATGTGCGACAAACCGTGTTAAAATCGGAGTGTTCCTCACCGAGTTATAAGTTTACGAATTTATAAAGGTCCATACATTAATATGTAGTTCTCGGTGACTAAGTTGCTTTTTTAGTAATGTAATTTTTCTATGTCCTCTCAATTTCAAAAAGTTCCCTGCCCAACAATTTAAGTTTTGTTTTATTGTTATAAAATTTTTTCAGGCACTCTTCGATGCGTCTTGTTTAATTTTAAATGCGTTTGATTAACTTAATACCTTAATTTAATATGTGAATAATTGAGCAAAACATAGTTGTAGTGTTTCTATCGCAGAAATTTTTAGTGACAAAAAAAAATTTAATGTTTACGTACGTTATATTATAATACGTTTATCATAACAACTTATATTTATTTAAATATCTATAAACAACGTTTTAAGATAAAAATTTAATTAAAGAAATTAAAATTCGTTCGCAAGGAACTTTTTAGTTATCAACGATTAAAGTTCCCACTTTTAGCAATAACTTTAAAACCTATCATCCTTTTTTTCTGAGACATTGCACACAGACTTCCATGAATTCTACCAATATTCTTTTAAAATTTGAAAATGATTGAATAAAAATTGCACTTTCTTTTTGTTTCTAACATCCAGTGTCCCCTTATGTGAATCTAAGTACGCGTGGAAGTTACTCTAATGCGAATATCTTCCTTTACTAGTTTCTTTTCTTTACTTTATCTACTTTTGCTAGTTTATAAGTTAGATATACATTTTTAACTCTATTTTAAGTATTTTTCCTATCCTCATAGTTTAAGTGATAGAAATAGTTAAAACTAATAACATATTCTTAATTAGAATTTAAAATACGTCATTAACGTTAGATAATTGCGCAGCGGCTCTAAATGAGAACGGAAACTGCTCCGGCGTTCGCTAATAAAGAGAGAAAAAATACTTGAGAAATGTCACTTTTACTTGGTGAATGCTAGTTCTAAAGTTGCGATGTTTGATTGGATGGTTGGGTTGAGGTCACCGAAAAGTAACCGGACGAGTAAAAAAGATCTGCCGACATAACCCACTGGACTGTCTTGTTTCTTATTTTCGATAGTTTGATTTTTTTTGTTCCGCAGTAAGGATGTGGTGCCTCTTTCTTACATGGCTGGCGGCAGTGTCTTTGCAGGTGAATTTTACCTTGATCATGAAATAATTCTACTTTCACTTTTCACTTGTTACTTTTATTTATGTTTTTGCTAAGCTTAATTTAATTCAAAATTGTTTACTTTAAAATCGACTGATATTATTTTTTGAAGAACTGCGTAATATAATTGAGTGATAAGTGTATGTTATTAATTATATTTAGCGAGATTTTTTAATACTCTCTTCAGAAGAACATAATTTCTTTTTCCGCAATACAATGGATCCTCAAAAATGTATTGAGTAATGTTTCTAATGTTTGGTACACTGTAAAAATTCCGGATCAAATTACGGTTTTAAAGTACCGGCACTTCGGGTGCATCAGCCGTAAAATTCACTTTTACCGTAAAATATTATACCGTAATTTTATTGTAATATTTATTTATTTAGAGTAATTCGGATATTTTATGGTAATTTTTAGTGAAAAATTTAAAATTTATCAGATTTTTATAAAATGGATTTTATGGTAAAAATGGATTTTACGGTAAAAAGTACCGGCATCCTGATTGCCGGTACTTTTTACCATAAGTTGATCCGAAACTTTTGGTAAGTGTAGTTGTAAAGCTTTATTTCGACCACTTTATTTTAATGGGAATTTATTATTCCGAAATTTAATCTTTGCTTCAAGTAAAATAATCTATGAAAAATAATCTTTGTTTCAAGTAAAATGATAGCTTTTATATCAACTGTGCAGTAGTTTTTTCATAAGTTAGTTGTAAAGATGTAGTTATTTGTGTACAACATGAAACAAAACTCAAAAAGTTCTAGCATTGACTACGCAGAAAAGAGAATTCCTATTCCATTGTATACAAAAGGGGTTAGCTTTTTAAGCGAACTTTTTATCTCCCATTTTTTTCGTCCCTTTAAAGAAATTAAGGGAAAAAAAAAAGAAATAAGTCTATATTCGGTGTTGTGCTATCACCATCCTTTATATGCTCAATAGGTATAAAGACTTTTAGACACGACTCAATAGGCTTAAGACTTTTTGTTTAAATGAAGTCAAACAGCCATAGGCTATGGGTGTTGCGAATTAATTATTAGAGATCGAAAAAAATGAAAACGTTTTCAAAACCTGATGAGTTGTTATTGAGGTTGGCAATAATGATGATGTAGTAAAATAATAAAAAAAAAAATAACTCATCTTGATTGCCGAATGAAACTGAAAGGTATTTTTAATAAAATAGAGTATCGATAAAATTTCTTTTTAAATTCTTTCTCCGTTTCATATAAAAATTGGTTTTGATTCTTGTAAACCCTTTTTTATGATTCATCAGATTTCAGCAAACTTTTCTTCCTCATTTAAACATAAGTTTATGACCCCCCTATTGAACATATTTTTCAATATTTTTTTTGCACAGGATTCTAAAAATAAGGGCAATTATTACTGGTCTCCGAATAAAATAAAAATCAGCAATTCAATTAAGAATCTATGTAAATCATGAATTTATAAAAACATATAAATCATAAATGTTCATCTTCAATAAATTTCTTAAAAAAATTTTTAGTACAATATTATGCATGGAAAACTGAGATTGTAGAAATATCTCACCATTTCTATTTGTCTTATCTAAGACTTCATGTAAAGATCTCTCTTTTTTTTTTAAATAATTGTACCTGAATTTTAGAGCTTTGTATTTATTAAAATTACTCTTTATTTGAAAATGAATTAAATTTTTTTTAATTTCCTTTATCATTAAATATTGCTGTATTATAATCGTATTATTGTAAATAAAATAAAACTATAAAGTGGTGCATTACATAAACTCTCATGATTTTGATTCTGGGTTTGTAAACCGAATCTATACCGATTCTTATAGTACTAGAAGTGCCGACCAGGTGGCAGATTGGTTAGCGTGTCTGACTGCGGAGCCATTGGCAGCGGGTTCGAATCCTGCTCAAGGCATGGATGTTTTTTTTCTCTCTGTGTTCTATGTCCTTTCTCCTTTGTGTGTGAATATGACCCGCCTTATAAACGGGTTTGGGGTTGTGTGACGTGAGCGACGCTGCTCCACAACCGTGGCTTCGCCACAGGTGCCTACTGAGTAACGAGAAGAGAGTAGCAGTTCTGGCATTTCTGTGGCCAATGGGACAAACCCCAAGTGCCCACCATTAAAAAAAAATATTGCTAGAAGTTTACTAGAGGCACGATTCTTATATTACTCTTCAACTTCCTAAAATCCGAGCTTTAAATAATGGAAAGCATATGCATGCTTAAAAATATGCAGCACAAAAAAAGTAAACTCACAAATGTGGCAAAATAGGCATATTTTGTTTTAAAAAGTTTACTTAATTAAACTTAATTAAAAATTCAATTAATTCAAAAGAGTTAAATAAGATTTTATTGAATGATAAATTTTTATCATAATGATAAATTTTAATTTTTAGTATTTTTCTATGCATATTGTAGAATATTTTCACTATGTATTTCTTTGCCATTAAACAAAATCCATTAGAATCAAATAAGAAGATATTTACAATGCCATGAAAGTGTCCGAAGGATATATGACTCGAATATCTTACATTTCTTATTTTTTGTACTTAAAAATTTCGTCCTAGGGAAGGTAAATATGATTAAGTTTTTACATAGACAATTGCTCTGTAAAAGCATAAAAACAGAAAAAAAAACTTTAAATATTTTTTAAGTGTTACAATCGTAACTGATATAACCGAATATATTGAACGCTGAATCTCAAGAAGTTAAACATTATAAATTTGTAATGTGAGAAAAATAAAAATAATAGCAATAATCTCAATAGTGAAAGGGTTGTGGTAGTGCGACGTGGGCGACGCTGCTCCACCGCCGTGGCTTCGCCATAGGTGCCCACTGGGTAACGAAAAGAGAGTTAGCAGTTCTGGCACTTTCTGTGGCCAATGGACACTAGTTCCAAGTGCCCGCCATTAAAAAAAAAATCTCAATAGTGAGAAGAATTTGAAAAAATATTTGCCAAAATATTTCTTAAATAGTGCATTTATTATGTACAACGTGAGTACTGTTTGTAAGTTTGTACAATACGCTACATAACTGTACCGAGTAATCTGTAGAGAAATTTCATGGAAGGCAGTTATTTAAAAAAATCAGTTTAGTTACAAATTTATAAAAATTAATTCAATTAATTTACATAAGTGCCGACCTGGTGGCCGAGTGGTTAGCGTGTCTGACTGCGGAGTCACTGGTCGTGGGTTCGAATCCTGCTCAGGGCATGGATCTTTCTTTCTCTCTGTGTTCTATGTCCTTTTTCCTTTGTGTGTGATTGTGTGAATGTGACCCGCCCTATAAACGGGTTTGTGGGTGACGCTGCTCCACCTCTGTGACTTCGCCACAGGTGCCCACTGGGTAACGAGAAGAGAGTAGCAGTTCTGTGGCCAATGGGACTTCCCCCAAGTGCCCGCCAATAAAAAAAAAAGAAAAAAAAATACATAAGTAATATTAAAAGAGATAGAAAAAAAAGTAAATTTGAAATGAATTGACAATGCTGAATTATGCTATTATTCGAATTAATGAACTTATGTTTATTCTACACTCGAATATGGTTTGTTTTTAAAGTTAATGTGTGCTCTGGTGCTCAAACAGCAAATCTTAATTATGATATTAAGCCCCGGTAGGGTATACTACATTATTTACATTATTACTACAGCTGCACAATGTGCTGTTGGCAACGGTCTGGGAAACATCCCTGAGGATTTTCAGAACACATGACATCGCAATTTTGATCCTGTGCAGAAACGCTTCTCCGCTTTGGTTGTCCAACGACCTACGCGTCAAGTTGAGCACTTTACGCCAGAACAGTTTAACGATGAACGATATCGCGAACCCTAGATTCCTTCGCAGACTGGTCAAAGTGGTCACCCTCCCTCATTGACAGCAGACAGTGATGCTTGACTTCGGCGATCTACAAAGAACCGTATCTTACGATCAGTCCACTGAGAGATGGTAGCATACATACCAATGCAGTTTCAGAGATTTCTTAGTAATTCATGGACAAACGAACTTTGTCATAGTCTGACTTCTGAATAGTAATTACATTTTAAGCTGACTATTTCTAAAGAGATGTAGGTTTTATTGAAATTACAATACTCCGTATGTTTTCAACTTTGCTTCCTTTACTTGACCCTAGTCTTTTTCAAATTATCAACAAGATGATATAATCGAAGAAAAATGTTACGCAAATCGTAGTGCATATGCACGTCTAATCTGTTCTTGACGAAACTCGGAACCGATGACTCGTTGACAACGAGGACAATGGGTCGTGTTTCAACAAGCCGAGTCACCGGGACACCTATAAGTTTTTTTTGCTGATATATTTATAAGCTTTTACGCAAAATGAAGCAAATAAACTAGTTTTTAAAAATTTTATATTAATATTTGAAAAAAAAAAATGTCGAAACTAGTCGAATACCGCAATAAGAAAGCAGCGAACCATACATCCTTATCACCTGCCGTTTATTTCTTACAGTAACAATCTACTTTCAATTAACCTATTATTCATAATTGCACATGATTTTTCTATGTTTTAATATTTTTGAATGTAAAATATATAAGATTTAAAGAAGTGTAATAGCAGAGCAACATAACAGTGGAACAACAGGCGAGAAATGCGGTATGAAAATGTCGTAGAGTTCCCTTTTGGACTCGGTGGTAGCATGTTGAATTTGAAGAAGAGCCTCAGAGCTCAAATAAATCTTGATAGGCTAAAATAAGCCTTACCTATTGAAACGCAGTGCTATAAGCGAAAGCAGAGAGCACGCCTCACTATACTATACTCAATACTCAACAACAGACGATTAACCCCAATGTCACTTCCTTACTTACATTTTAATTTTGATCTTATGACATTTAAGTCATTCAATCTATATTTGACAACAACGAAGTTAACTGCATTTAATTTTGTAGCATTTCTTTAAGTAATAAACACAAAATAAAATAATTACGCAAGCGATACATTCAAGAAGCTTTCAAACAATCTTCTCCCTTTTAGTATGATTGAT